TATTAAATCAAAACTATGAAAACCAAACCAATATTTGCGATGTAAATATTAATTTTATAACAATATAAAAATATCAATTATTTAATAAAAAAATTTATAATAAAAAATGTTCTCACTTACAAATTCATAACTATGGAAAAGGTCAAATGTTTTATCTCTTGTTTATAAAACAAGAATTAAACTAAATGAAAGTGTTGTCCAAAAATTATACATTTTGTAAAAAATGGGATTGTTACTATAGGAACTCAGAATTGCAAATTGTATGGAATTATAAGCGTAACCCTATTTATCCTGATGTCTGGTTTCATGTCTGGGGGGGGGGGGGAAATTGACCCCTACCTCTATTTTCTTATTGTGATACAAATATAAAACATTTGATACGTTTCCGGAAAGCCCTTGCGCTCTACCTCAATAGTGTTAAAAAATAGCAAAGGAAATGAGTATTTGCAACAAAATCTGACTTTCTAATTCTTATAACTTAGCAACCCATTGTCCTAGACCATTGATATTTCGAACTATTAGATCAAATATTCTAAGTTTGAAATATCAAAGGTTTACACCATCAGGTTGCAAAGCTATAAGGGGTTAGAAAATGTGAGTTTGTTGCAAAAACTCAATTCCTTTGCAAAAATCCAAATATTTATTGGGAAATCTAGTTTTTAAGCAAAAAATAAAATTGCGCAAATTGCAACAATTATCATTCATTTTTGAAAAGCCCTGGACCCCGCTAACATAAATGTGGAAAAACATTTGCTACATTTTTAAAACTTATTTGTTTATTTCAGAAAGAAATGTTTAAATTCCCTTTTAAGACGTCTGTGTAAATATTGTGCAATCTGGTTTCTTTTGTTATAGGGTTTCCAAAGAGCTATACAATTTTGAAATCCAATGACTGGAAGTTGGTCTAAATATAGATTTAGTCTGGTAAAGGTAAAATAAGGCATTTATGCCTGAGGACTCAGGGAGTAGGTATAAAAGTCCAGCCTTAAGTGATGGGCATGTGTTAGTTAGAAAAGTCAGAAAATTGCACGTTGAATCTCCTATATTTAGTATATATTGTAGATATTTATATGAATCATTATTTCAAATCTTAAATATGAAATGCAAATAAATGCAAACAAAAAAAAAGTATTAGCAATGCGCAAAACTCTTACATAAGCAGCTGACCTTTGCAAACACTTAAGATGCTAATAATAATATGAAATGGGCAGGGTTTAGGTAAATTTCATGGCGTATCTTTGTCTGGAATAGAATTGGAAAGTGGATTTTTAATTTTAATTAAAATATTAAACTTTTGAAAGCAGTTCCATGTCAGGCGACTTGAACCACTTTTAAATTTTTGATCTAGAGATTTTAAAGAATAGTAATTGAAAATAAATTTGAATATTTATAGGTGTATTAAATCTTTTAACTGTTTTATGTTATTTTATTTTAAGTATAGACTTGAAAAGAATTCAGTATTAAAAAGCCAAGATTGAGTGGAATAACAAAGCATGGTTGCACACAAACTATGTTTACATTATAACAATAGAAATGTTCAGTGTTGGACCAACTAAAGATGATTTAATTACTCACGACATTCCCCTTGGGGCAAATATATTTCCATTAGACTCTTCTCTTCAGACACTTTGTGCTGACTGACTTCATATCGGGGCTTAAGATGGCCGACAAGTTTGCTTTCTCCTCGAGCAGATTATAGTCTTCCTTCATTCTCCAGCATCATATTATTCCATAACTCTCCTATTTCTCTAGAGTTTGTTATCAGTCTGCCCATACTTCAGGTTCAATGGACCTCGCGATCAGCTTGTCCTTATCTGTTCTACACTGTTCTATATTTTAGGGTTGCACACATACTCGGAGTTCAATACGCTTGGACTGACTCCGGATTTGTTTGGCTTTTTAGATTGCATTTATTTTGCTACAGGGTCACATTAAATTAGAGTTACAGTCCTTTTGAATAAATTAAATACTCAGATATTTGACCATCCATTTCAGCAGTGCCTTGTACGATTCACAACATTACCCTTTACGGGGTGGATACGTTTTCAGAATTGACTTTTTTTAAATCATTAAATAACGACGACGAAAAATAGAGTAAAAATTATACAGTAATCTAATTATATGGTTTGGAACATATTTCTCAAAAGAAATTTGTCAATAAATCAATGCTAGAATTAATTATTTCGTTTTCATCATTATAATGAATTTCTTATTTTCTTTGAATTTATTCGCAGATTTCTTCAAATTCTTCAAATGTCGTCTTTTCAATAATAATTCCCAGAAAATCTGCAGAAAATCTTTGTAAATAATGAGAAAATAGGAACTAATAACTGAACAAGATTACTTATTTTCGATGATAACATTAATTTTTATTTTCTCAACCTGATCCTAAACAACTAATTAGTTTACTGTTTTTACATTTTATGTCGTCGTCATTCAATAATTTGAAAAAAAATTAATCCTAAAGAAGCTTTTCACAACACTGCATACTCAGTTCAACTACCTTACATTGCCGGTCTGTCCCTTTAACGATTTTTTTTTATCAAGAATTCTGAATTAATTAAATTTGCTTATTTTTCTTGCTAAAAATTGAGTATTTTCAATTGTCAACGTCTATATATTCGTCATTGTTACTAAGATATAGGTTCAAGGGTACCGTTGTTGAAATAAAACCCATCAAACCTTATTTTTTCCCTAACCATATCTTGGATTTACGCAGTAAGCAGTGTAATACCTGAGGCTACAAATGCCCACTGCGTTAGTGAGAACCTGAGTTGGAATCTTTAAACATAAAAAAATCACAAAGTTCAGTTTATGAAACATGGCTTTTGTCGGTGGATATTAAAACTTTGCAGCTATTATAATATACGATTTTTTAAAGTTTAGACTTTCATTAATGTTGGTGAATTGTAAATCAATAATTAGATTTTGTTTTTATACAGTTGTTATTCGCGTTCATTTCACTGTTAAAAAATAACATATTTCTTATAACTATTTCAAAAACGTGCCACTAATTTAGTATTATTTTACAGCACGTTCTTTATCGGAGATTCTTGCTCAAAACGTGCTTTGTTAAGCACCGTTTCTGATAAAGACACTCTGACTCAAGTCTTGTAATCCCAAAATCTTTGCAATTGCATCTGGTAGACCTTCGATATTTCAAACTATGAATTTTGTTACGTCAAATAATTTAAGTTTGAAATATCAAAGTTGCGAAGATATATGGATTAGAAAACTCAAATCCTTTACAAACCCCGTTAAAAAACCATATAATAACTTTTATGGACCTATTTGAATAAACTTATGAGTATTTGATGTAGTTACAAAGCAAAGAATTCGACCATGAGTGAAATGGGTCTGTGTGTACTGCACACCTTGTTATATGTTCAATGGCTATTTAAAATTATAACTTGAGTCTACTGTTTAATGTGCCCCACTGTGTTGTGTTTAATTTTAGTTTTCTCTGAAACTGTAAACTCATATTTTGAGATTTTACAAAATATGCTCTGAGCTGCACTCTTGTATGCCGAGTCCATTAGCGCCTGATCCAATCAGGGTTCAGTCATGTGTTTGGTATCTATTCTGAACCAACAGAAATTGCATGGCGGTAAAATCTATCTTTCTATCTATCTCATTATCCAATTACAAATAAATACTTAAATCGGCGCTGTTCACTAAATGGAAATATTTACTTCTATGATACTATAGTGGCTGGGAACTATATCCTATTCGGTTAATTAATCCGGAGATGAATAACAAGAGGAGAACAAGCATTTATCTCGATATCCACCATCTAAATCTTTTGACTCGTGTTGTTGTTGAAGTTTATTTTTAAGTGTGTTGCACTTGGTTCATCCTTATTGAGTATAGTATTGAGTGAGGTAAAGTATAAATTCTTGATGCCTAGATACAACAATCCATCCTTACTCCTTAGGCTTTGTTTGAAACAAGTTTTCATGTATCCAACTAGTCAATGTTTACTGTAAACCTGGAGATAGTTCAGTATTTTAATTTTAAAATATTTCATAAAAATATATATCTATTATTTATTTTTTTCCATGATTGTTAAATTCTAATTTTACTTTTTTTAAATGACGATGGAAATATTTATTATCGATCACATTTTGAACGGACATTTAAAAAAGTTTCAAATATCAGCTTAAGAAAGCTGTTTTAAAACCTGGACTAAAGCGTTAACAACATGAAATCTGCAACATGAAATAAGCTGATTATTGCCCCGTTCTCTAGTTTTCTTAACCTTATTTCTTTGCAACCTGATGTAGTACTCGTAGACCATTGATATTTCAAACTTACAATTTCGCTAGACATTGGACAATGATATCGGGATTATAGTTCGTGGCAAAGACTCAATATTCCTTTCAGAAATATAAAAAATAGACTCATCGACATTTTTTTTAAATATCTAGCTTTTGGATCAAATTTAGAAGAGTTAAACAATTTAAATCATTTTCATCTATCTCTCTTTCTGCGTATCTGACTATTTAGCTATCTATCTATCTATCTATCTATCTATCTATCTATCTATAAACCTCTATATCTCTGTGTACCAGTTTAAACCTGTCTGCACATAATATCTTGTAGCGAATAAACTAGGCAGGATGGTATCTATCTNGGGGGGGGGGGGATTTTGATCAATATGGAAAGGAACTTAATTCTTACTTGCCATAAACCATAAAAAATATCTTTGCAACCTAGTGCCGTGTACTATTTGAATATTTGATATTTGAAACTGTAAATTTTACTAGAGAAAACAGCCACAGTTTAAAATATCAGGTTGTAAAAATATAAGGATAGGAAGATTAAAGTTTGTGGCGACCAGTTAAAATACAGCATCTTAATTCTTTTTGGCGAGGTGGCATTTATGAAAACAATATTCTTGTTATCATAGACAATTTTTAGCTTCGTACAAAAGTGAAGGAACAGATAACCAAATAGTGTGATTAAAATGGACAAAGAGTTAAAAATGTAATTTATTTCAGATGTGAATGAAGTTAAAAGATGTGTGGGATCTCCCTATTAAATAGTTTCCCCTTTCTCCTGTATACCCATATACTCATCCTACTCAGCTCCTCTCCTTCTACTCATGCATCATCCATGGGAAGATCGGGACAAAAAAACAGGTTGGTGAAATAGGAAAAATGGAAAGGATGAAAATAAATGAATAGACAGAAGAGAAAGGTATACTTATACAAAAAGATATTTAAGAAAAGATGGAACGAAAGAATAGGAAGAATGGAAAGAATGGGATGAATGTGATGAATCGAAAGAATAAGAAAAATGTAATGAATGGAAAGAATATGATGAATGAAAAGAATGGAATGGGAGGATGAATGGGGTGTAATGAAAGAATGGAATGGAATATAAAGAAAGGCTAAAATAGGATTGATGATAAGTAAGAGAAAGGACGGATAGAGAAAATGTGTCTTAAGGATGGATTGGTTTGGAAGAAAGGGATTGATACAAATAATGGAATGTGTGGGATGAACGGGAGGTATAGAAAGGATGGAATGGCTGGGATAAATGGGATGGATATAAAGGATGGACTGGATGGGATGAAAGGGATGTAAATAAAGGATGGAATGGATGGGATGAAAGGGATATATATAAAGGATGGAATGGATGACATAAATGGGATGGATAGAAAGGATGGAATGGATGACATGAACGGGATAAATATAAAGGATGGAATAGATGGGATGAACAGGATGGATATACAGAATTCAATTGATGACATGAACGAGATGGATATCAAAGATGAAATAGATAGGATGAACTAGTTGGATGTTAAGGATGGAATAGATGGGAGGAAAGGGATGTAAATAAAGGATGGAATGAATGGAATGAACGGGATGGATAGAAAAGATGGAATGGATGGGATGAATGGAATGTATATAAAGGATGGAATGGTTGGGATGAATGGAATGTATGTAAAGGATTAGATGGATGGGATGATTGGGATGGATAGAAAGGATGGAATGGATGCCATGAACGGGATGGATATAAAGGATAAAGAATTGGTTCCGGTTTATGAATAAATAGTTTTAATTCTTCCAACCTTATCCGTCCTACAGTTTCTAGTTCACACTCTCTCCAATACTCTCTCTCTCTTTTTCATTAAAAATAAAATAAATGATTATAAGATTATATTTTCAAGTGATCCCATGCCCGATTCACAACTGTACCTTTTAAACTGGTATTTGAGCCACAATATCGTGGTTTTTTATGCGGGACAAGTATTAAACTCTTATTTTCTTTTTATCCCTAGAAAATGAATAATATCAATGTTAGGATTTCTGCATAGGTTTTGCCCCAACGAAGGTTAAGAGGATATACTGTTTATTGTGAATAGACATCTTAGTCCCTTTAAAACAAAACAAGGGAATAATCTAGATAAAGCTAAAAAAAAATATTTCAGAACTAAAACAATCAAATGTATTTATGCATTGTTTGGAAGGAATCTTAAAGAAATACAAAGAAACTGAAAAGTAGGCAAGGAAGGAAAAGATATTCATGAAACATAAAAAGATAACAAAAAAACGCTGGAAAGTGAATGGCTGTTTAAAGGGACTGTAAGCGTCATTTCAAATGACCATCAATCTACACAAAGATGACATTGCTCGATTCACAATGGTATCTTTAAAAGCTTGTCTCTCTTCAAGTATGAATTAGATATAAATATTCATTAATTTTCAAAACTGTGTATTTTGTTTTTGGGGGTTTCTACAAAAGTGACTTGCGCATTTCTAAACAGGAAAAAAGGACATCATCTTACTCATAATTGATCAGAGCTGGGAACTTTTGAATGGTGGATATCGGGAGTAATGCTTGATCCACTCTTTTTCTTAATCTCGAGATTAAATAATGCTTGTTCTCCTCTTGATCCTTGATCCTCTCTTTTTGATAATCTCAAGATTAACCTAATCTTGCAAGATTATCTTAAAAGTGTATGAAAAACGATAAAATTCATATTAATATTTAATCATCTGAGAAACTGTAGCAGCCAATCAGAGAAAAGCGGGCAACCAATGAGAGAACAGAAATATTCTCATTGGAGAAAACAATTAACGGATATCCAAGGAGAGAGAAAAAGAGTGGATTAGGACAAAATGAAAAGTTTCCACAGTGGATATTCGGATCAAGAAGTCAGGATTAAAGTTTATCCGTTCTTAAGTTCCCAGCTCAGGTAAAACTTTCAAGGGTGAATCCGGTATTGCCACCTTTCAATTGAAAGTCACTTGAAATTACGCTTACAGTCCCTTTAACACAGTTAAGTGACCGGGAACAATATGGACAATCTTGGAAAATGAAAGAAAAGCTGAAGAAAGAAAGAAAAGACAGTTACAGCAACAACAAAAAATACGAATATAGTCTTCCTATTTCACATAGGTTTTATTGAGACCATCGTAGCGGAATTAATCAAATAAGAGAAATAAAATTAAATGAATAAAGTAAGGGAGGAAGAAATGAATAAAGTAAGGGCAGAAGATATGAAGAAAGTAAGGGAGGAAGAAATGAATAAAGTAAGGGCGGAAGAAATTAATAAAGTAAGGGCGGAAGAAATGTTGATGCTTGAGGTTAAAAGGAGTTTTGGTTGCTAGAGCAGAACAATTAGCGGAAGAATTGAATAAAGTAAGGGAGGAAGACATAGTAAGGGAGGAAGAAATTAATAAAGTAAGGGCAGAAGATATGAATAAAGTAAGGGAGGAAGAAATGAATAAAGTAAGGGCGGAAGAAATTAATAAAGTAAGGGCGGAAGAAATGTTGATGCTTGAGGTTAAAAGGAGTTTTGGTTGCTAGAGCAGAACAATTAGCTCCTGTTCGAATACAGGCTGTTCAACAAATATTCTCGGTTAGGAGTGAAGGATGTACTATGGTTATAAAGCAAATCTTTTAAGATGGGAATATGAATATTAATGATGATTTTGATTGGGATTTTGTTTTGATTAGGTTAGGTTTAATATAATAATATATCCAGGATGTGTGGATATACGGGGGATTTGATAAGGGACACTGAAAAAAAAGAAGAATGTGCAGAATGTTCTGAGGTTAGTATCAAACATATATTTTTTCTAAAAAAATTTTAAAAGTTTTTTGAAAACATTCCACTTACTTTTATCTTGATAATTAAAGAGGATGTAATTTGACCACCATTTTGTAATTTCTCAATAGATGAGTTCCTTTAAAAAAAACTATTAAATTTTCCTCAAGGGAAAATGTCCGTTGGAAATAATTAGACAAAATTCAAGATTTAAAGATGACAGTTGAATTTACATATCTTTTAAAGGGACTGTCAACTAAATTTCAAATGTCCCTCTATTCCGTTTAACCTTTGTCTGAGAAAGATATTGTTTTCCTTTTCCTTCCTTGTCTTTTCTGCATAAATCCGTTAGTTACTTTTACTGAGGGTGCAACTAAAAATTATCCATTTATTGATAAAAAAAACAACATTATCTCCACCATTAGCCAAACATGTAAATTTTTAAAGGGAGTGTTTGCGAAAAATGAAAGGGAGTATTGGCATACGGCAAAAAAAAGAGCTTTTGATCGCTACTAATCTTAATTCTATCTGTTGCGTATATAAGGAGAAAATTGTTAAAAACGATTCATGCTGAATAACGTAGAATCCACCCAATTTATGAAAGTTGCAATCCACGACTCGGATCGTAAAAAAAATCAATTAAATTTCAAACAAACCATTCAGATATTACAACCCATAGTCAAAGATTATTTTTCGCCACATTTGTGTATAGTTAATTTTCCATAATGTGTCTTACTTCTCTTATATATACAATGCACTTAAACAACGATTTGGTGGACAAACTAATCGGCGTTTAAAGTGCATTGTACATAAAACAAATACAAAATATTATGAAATATCAACTATATGCGAACGCGTCGAAAAATAATCGATGACCAAAGGTTGCAATATCTAAATGATTTGCTTGATATTAAATTGATTTTTTTACAATCCGAGTCCTGGATTGCAATTTTCTCAATTTGGGTGGATGCTACGTTATTCAGTACAAGTCGATTTTAACAATTTTCTCCATATAGACGCAACAGATAAAAGTAAGATTAGTAGCGATCAAAAGAGCTTTCTTTGCCTTATGCCAATACCCCCTTTCATTTTTTCTCGAACACTCCCTTTAAATAAAAGATTTATTTACGAAGCTTTGCAATCCCAAAATAAAAGAAAACCGACTATTTTTAAAATAAAAAATATTTTGAGTGTATTTAGTAACTTTTACTGTAAACTTTTACTCAAAAGCAGCTACTCATCAAATTTGTTATAACCATTTTTTGAAATTGACTAATCCCAAACTTTCAATTTCCCAAAAAATGTGGGGTAATTTCAAGTAACTTGATTTGGTTTACAAGATCTAGGGATTAGAAAATCAGATTGGCAAAGTCCTTTATGTAATCCTTTGTAAAATCATTGTTTAATCCTTTGTCAAATAATTAATTTTATTTTGTCAAATCATTGAATAATCCTTTGTCAAATCATTGATTAATCTTTTGTCAAATCATTGATTAATCCTTTGTCAAATCATTGATTAATCCTTTGTCAAATCATTGATTAATCCTTTGTCAAATCATTGATTAATATTTTGTCAAATCATTGATTAATCTTTTGTCAAATCATTGATTAAGCTTTTTAAAGAAAGTAATTTAAGAATCTTTACGGTCTCCTATTTTTTGATTAGCCCTATATTATCTGTGCAATTGTTTGACATAGAGACAGGACAAAATTCCAGTAAGTTCTTGGGCGTCGCCGGCGGAGAAGGCTTGGGGGGGGGGGCGCCAGATATGGGCACTTCTACGCCCTGCCTGACTTTTTGTAGGTGGCATGACGAGGGAACGGGGGGGGTGGGTGCAGGCGCAAATTTAGATATATATAATATATTAAATATAAACATAAATAAAACAAGTTTATTATCACTCTAGGAACAACTAATTAAAAAATACTAATGGGATTGGAAGATCTTTTAAAACGAATTTTTCTTTTTTAATTAAAGCAGTTTTATAACATTCTGACCTAAATTCTGCAATAGTTTTAAAAATAATCTTCTTTTTAAATTTGCACCTTTTTCATACAGAAATGTTTCAAAGACCTATGTTTTAAAGTGCCTATCGAAGTCTTTAAAGTTTCTTTTAATTATCGTGTTTATTTGGAGTTTACCTTATCTGTATCATCCCTTTAACCCTATTCCGATTGGGCTATTTTTATACTATGAATATGTCCCCCCCCCCATATGATTTTGTCCTTAGAGTTGAGATGGGGGAGGGTGATACCATGGTCCTATAGTCCAACTTCTCAAGGCCTGCTAATTAAAAAAAAATTAAACCTCTAACTTTAACTCTATTCCTGCTGGGGGGGGGGTGTCAATTTGACCCCCCCTGTAGTTTTTTTTACATAACTCAAAAAGTATTGGTCTGAGGCTGTTGAAATTTTCTGACTTTTCCTACATACCCAAAGAGGTTGACATGCATGTGACAGATAAAAAAGTTGATGTCTTCTTAAAAGGACTCTAAACGTTATTTTAAGTGGCTCTTCGTCATTAGACCTTCATTCACAACAGTACCCATAAATGCGTTGTCTGATGCGTTGTTAGATATCATTGTTTTTGTTTCTTTAAACTCTTTATTTTCCTTTGCGGTTTTCTATGAGAAAATGAAAGCTATGGAGAAACACACAGAAATAAACACTTTTTGAGTCAGAAAACAAACATTTCCTTCAATATTTTTGATCAGATTAAAGTTTCAATGGTGCCCTTGTAAATCGGGCATTGCCATCTTTGCATAGAGGATCAAATGAAATTACACGTACAGTCCCTTTAAATGTTTTAATCTTTCAAATCCTAAATATTCTAGGTTGGAGTTCTGTATTCCTCTACAGTAATATCAGTTCATAGAACCAGTAAACTAGAGGAATGTCGGATATTTTGTCAGAAAGATACAAGGTAACATTTATCGTGTTGTTCTGTATATCCAAAAAGGCACTTTCCCAAGTGGTAACTTCCCAAGTGGTAACTTCCCAAGTGTGCCATTTCCCAAGTAGAAACTTCCCAAAGGTAAGGTTAGGCCTTCCGATGCGCCACAGGGCTAAATGAGGGCCGAGCGCTACGACTAGGATAAAGGCAGGGGTTAAGCGCTGCGGCTAAGAAGTGGCCATATGGAAAAATACCATTGGAAAGGTGCTGCTTGGGAAAATGTTTAAGGGAAAGTACCTAACATCAACATGAAATACATTGCGTAGTTTACACAGACCCATTTTACCTAATCAATATATTCTAAAGCACTGGTAAAACTTTTTGTCTAAAACCATCAAATACAGATAAGATGTCTTAACTGTCATATGTTCCTATTTCAAATAGCCCACAGTGAATATCGAGATCAAGGGATCGTGATTGTAAGTATCCAACCAAAAGTTCCCATGACATGAAGTATTGCATTTCAGGCTTTATATTAAAGGCCAAAGACCGAATCAATCTTGATACATTATAGTTAATGAATTTTATGTCGTTATTAGTCTCATTCTTTTTGTATTTTCCACCTATACATAGTAGTAAAAACTGAAAGGAGAGTAAACATCGTTTTCTTCTTTCTATCATTTAATGATGATAGGAAAGGTCCCTAAGGATTTAATTTCTGAACATTTTGATAACAAATCAGATAGAAAATTTTAAATTAAAGACGAATATCATAATCTACAGAAAAAGTAATGACGACAACCATGCTTCAGTTTTCTGGTTACAACTGAATATATACTTAACTCTTTCTTATTCCCCGCCCTTTGTTCTATACTTTAGATGAGTCGTGTGATGACGCTTCTAGACAAGTTCTTGTTTCTGGGTTTACAGATTTAATCTTTGCTTTTAATCATTATTTTGGGTTTCGTCCTTTGTTTAAAGACATATAGAGACAAAGACATATCAAGCACGTGGTAATCAGCTGTTGCAGGGCATAGGGATAAATTCGTCCGTTTTTCTTTGAAAACTGATTATTTTTTGATTTGATCTATTAAGTAACATGCGGATTTCTGTTTAAGTAGCAATCGAGGAAATTTTTGGAAGTATAACCTTTCAGCCCAGAAAATCGAAAATATCTTCCACATTATCTATCAAATATAGGTTTAAAGGGTACCGTGTAGTTAATTCAAATAATTGGTTTTATTATATTTATTTTTGTTTTTAGATGTAAATATTTCTCTCTGGATACGCGGAGAGGATCCTGTCATCTTAAATCCACAACCAATACTAAACTTGGAGCTCCAGACAGGTACAATTTGAATAAAAATTGAGATTTAATTTTTCAATTATAAAATCTGCAAATTTGTTTAAGTTTAAAAGCAAAAAACGGAACCAATGTCGTTTTCTGTCAAATTACCGCTATTTTCTAAATTATCTTTGTGCTAGAAATCCATGATATGTTATGGCCAGTAATGATAAATTTGAGATATAAACTTAACATATTATACACTAGCTCAGGCACCCAGCTTTATCTGGAAACAAATTTTTTTTTTAAAAGAGTCAATCTATTCAAATGAAAACTTTTAAACCAAGCTAAGAACATTCTCGTAGGTTCTACAGAATTAACAGATTAATCGGTTTAAGGGTTTCTGAGTAATGATTGGACACACAAACAGAGATTATTCTATATATATAAATATATATTATATATATTGAATATATATTTATATTGTATATATATATATATATATACATATCCATAAATATATTGAATATTTTTAAGTTATGTATCCGGGACGAAGTACTGCACTCATGAGAAGGAGAGCTTGATCAAGGACCGCATGAAGTTGATGAGAAACTATAACAAGGACCAGTACAATGAGCTGGACAGTGAACTACTAGAACTAGATTCAGCAGACGTTCAACGGAACTCCAGGACCATGAACCTGGGACTGGAGAACAAAAGTTATCCAGTTGTTATTGTTGAGCATGGTTCTGAGAAACAGGATAACTATAAAACCATCCTAGCGGGAATACCAGCAAACTTTGGTCTGGTTATCAGTCACAACAAATCGGTAAAAATAAGATAACTGCCTAATACGCTCATTTTTATTGTTACGAGCAATGTTTTATTTAGAAATTTAGAGGGTGTACATTGAGAACCAGAAAACTGTACACGAAATTTCAACTTTGTTCTTCCCTTTCCTAAAGAAGTGTCGCGGCGCTATAGATTTAAAAACGATAGTTTTTCATTTCTCTGAACGTTCTAGTATTCGCTTTTTTTCGAACCACACTATCCTTCACCATAATTTTTGAAATGTTTGTTTACAAAAATTTCGTTCGTTCGTATAACGATATCCATCGCTATCCATAAACTAAATGAATAACCAAGTACATCCAGTTTGTATTCCATTCGGAATATTTCTTATCATATTTTCATCTTTAATTCAATATTCGTCGAAAACTAGTACTCAAAATACATGGCCTGATACAAAAGTACAATACAATAAACAGCAAACACGGAAAACTATTATGGGGAAAAGATGTTAATAAAATAAGGCCCTCACTCACTGTGATTGAAAGGTCTCAAGATATCTAGCAAAAATCGAGGAGAATTTTCCCAATTACTTTTTAAAGGCCAAATCTAACAACAAGTGCTAATATTTACATGTAAAGGGATAAAGGAAAGCATAAGTGAGAAAGAGCAGTAAACTCAAAGCCCATTGCGTGTTGCGACACTTCAAAGTCGACCCTGTCTTAAATATTGATGAGACTTTTATAAGCAGGCTGAATCTTTGCGCACTGACTTTAACCCTTTGCGTAATTTCTGTTAAAAAATAAGCAAAAATATTGAAAAAAAACGGAAGTTGAGATCATTAAAAAATAAAGAACAGTATCTTTGATCAATCTTAAACCTGTATAGTGTATATTCCGGATATATTTGATCAATCTTAAACCTGTATATTCCGGATATATTTGATCAACCTTGAGCCTGTATATTCCGGATATATTTGATCAATCTTAAACCTGTATATTCCGAATATATTTGATCAATCTTGAGCCTGTATATTACGAATATATTTGATCAACCTTGAACCTGTATATTCCGGATATATTCGATCAATCTTGAACCTGTATATTCCGGATATATTTGATCAATATTGAGCCTGTATATTCCGGATATATTTAATCAACCTTGAACCTGTATATTCCGGATATATTTGATAAATCTTGAGCCTGTATATTCATAATATATTTGATCAATATTGAGCCTGTATATTCCGGATATATTTGATCAACCTTGAGCCTGTATATTCCGGATATATTTGATCAATCTTAAACCTGTATATTCCGAATATATTTTATCAATCTTGAGCCTGTATATTCCGGATATATTTGATCAATCTTAAGCCTGTATATTCCGGATATATTTGATCAATCTTTAACCTGTATATTCCGAATATATTTGATCAATCTTGAGCCTGTATATTCCGGATATAAAATGATAAACGATTTACTCACTGGTTTTAACCGGTTTTGTGCATAGTGCATACACTAGGTGCAATAAAGATAATTTCTTTAAAATACTCAGTTAGGCTTGAATATAACAAAAGGCAAAGCATTTAAGATTTTCCAAATTGGTAAACTAATCTTTAAACTGTAATTTAAGCACCTACAGAGTGTCCCAAAAAACAAAAGCAACATTTTTTGGAAGTATACAAAAACTCTCTTTATGACGTTACAGCTCTCAATTTGGTTCAAAATAAAAAGGAATTGAGTCTTTGTCACAATCTTTGATTTTCTAATTCCCACGTATCTTTGAAACCCAATGTCGTATACCTTAGACATTTAAAACTATGAATTAGATCAAATAATCTAAGTTTGAACTATGAAAGCTTTACACCAGTATAGGTTGCAAAGATATAGGGATTAGAAAATATGGGGTTTGAGAGTAAATACTACAATTCTATACTTTCGATCGAGTGACGGAGTAACTAATAATACTTTATATACTGTCCCATTGAATTGGGTTTTCGAAAATGTGGTATTTAATAGTCTAAGGATATAGAAAATTTAAGTTTGTGTTATAAATTCAATTTATTTATCACCATTTTCGAATATTTTGTCTGACATTAAAATCAAGAATGTCATCAGCGACGTAAACTCTGCTATAGAGAAATTAAATGTATTCTCCAGCTTATATATTTTAACCTTTTGTACTTTTTTCAGTTTGTTGGTAAAGCTGTAGTATTTGAACCTGCAGATCTATGCAGCCAAAGACTAGCTGATATTAGGTAAAAATATACAATACTATACAATGCTAATTTGAGAACCCAGCGTTGCCCAGGGTACTCATATTTATTCCAACTGTTTACCCGCATTTGGTCATAAATAACGATCATAGCTATTTTTCCCTACACAACTGGACCCACTCAATTTAGTATCTCAAAACCAAACTAAGATCATAAAAAATCAATCAAAATAAAATAATAATAAAATAAAAATTGTAAGCAAATCGGTCAAGGGGTTAATGAGTTATGATCGTGCATACAAACAAACGGAGAAACAGACAGACAAAGAAAGATTACAACTTTATATATATATACAAGCTGGAAAGCCCGGCGTTGCTATGTAAAAAAATAAAAATAAAAAATTTAAAAAAATAAATCTTTTTTTTTTAACATACCCCGGCAACCCGTGAGTGTCCACAAAAATGTCAGTCCATTTGGTCCAGCCGTTTGGCCGGCTATAGGCAACATAAATATAAATGTCTTGTTTTATTATATAAACTAACTGGAGGGTCCGGCGTTGCCCGTGGAAAAAAATTGATTTTTTTAGCCTCTAAAATCCCCCGGCCAATTTATAATCTCAAAACCAAGCTTAGAACATTCCCAAATTTGAGGCAAATCGGTCCAGGGATTTCCGAGTTATGATCGGACAAACAAACAGACAGACGGACAGAGATACAGACTAACAGAGATTGCAACAGGGATATTAGCCTAGCAAATACCACCTGCACAAACCTCAATGCAATCACTTTTTATCTTCGGTGGTAGGCGATTATATCAATATATTGAAGACTACTTATTTATTTAAATTTTATTGTTAACAAGCTTTTTCCGAATTACAAGTTTTAAAGGAATTAAAGAGAAGCTTTTTCAATTGACAGCTTCTCTTTTTCTAGAAGATCTAGAAGTTCTAGAAGTTTAGAAGATGCTAAGTTTTAGACGAATGACTAATGACAACTAATGATTCTAGGAAAAAGTTAGATGAGCTGAAGAAGGAAAAACCTGAATCTAAACTAATCGGAATTGTGAAGAGAGGTCTTTGCTTGTTTAGCACTAAAGCAGGTGATTCATTAGCAAACAGGTTTATTTAATCTAAATTGGTTGATTCATTGATTGTTTGATGATTAGCACTTAATCATTTAAATCACTGATTAAAATTAGTTTTTTCATCACTATTTATCAGTCAATTAGATTTTTTACATTTTTCAGCTATAAACAGTTATCTAGAAAGAATTCATTTTTAAACATTTTTATAAAATAGATGATAGTATACACTAGCTGTACAGTACAGCCTGTACTCTGTACAGGATTGTTTTCTCTCTGCTTACACTCTGATATCCATAATAATATATTAATCAATAAATAACTTAACAAACTTCAATCTCTTTCCATTGAGTCTTTATCCTACTTTTCATATATTGCATTAGTTTTGTACAATTTTGTTTTTTTAATTATCGATAAGATTATTGATCTGCCGATTGATTAATCGGTTTATTGTTCGATTTACAAATCAATTTGTCAGTTTATTTGTTTTTAATGTTTAGAAAACGCAGTGAATGTTGGTTTTGATGGAATGGTTATCCTTGATAATGTGGGGGATACCTCGGTAGCGTATATCAAAGGAGCTCAGAAGGAAAAATTCAAGGTATTCAATTATTTAAATTTTAATTGTACATTTTCCATTTTGCTGTACACTGTTAAATGCACTGTACACCTCACTGTACGATGTTTAATTAGTTGTATAATTTACTGTACGCTAGGGTTTGCAGCGAACAAAACGTTTCGCAAAAAAATACGAAAATTTACGTTCGTATTTCGCAAAATTGTTCGTGAAATTTTGCATTTTTCGCGAAAATGAATGAAGCGAAAAATGCGAAAATGTTGGAGCTGTATTTTGTCTATTTTGATAAATTTTCGCAAAAAAAATTTCTTTTTTTTTCAAATTCCGATTTTTTCGCATTTTTTAGCGAAATGTTTGCATTTATTTTTTCGCGAAAATTTCGCATTTTTTCGCTAAACAGATGGAAGTGAAATTTTGCGAGGAAAAAAATATTCGCATTTTTTGCGAACGAACTAACTGCGAAAAAAGGGGAAAAATTTTGCGAAACGATTTTTCCTTTTCGTGGCAAACCCTACTGTATGCTGTTCAATGAAATTTATTTTAACAGTTGTAAAATGTTTAAACTTTTTGTCTTTATCTAGAATTTCCCCGCAATATTCCTGCTGAAGAAAGAAGCCGACATTCTTGTCGATATCCTTCATAAAAACAAAGGATATCTAACCCTGCACATGCAAGGTACAATTAAGATTAATAATTTTTTGATTTTAGAGAAATTAAGGAAATTAAGCAAAATTCAGCAAAATTAAGGGAAATTACGAAAAAATTAAGCAAAATTAAGGAAACTGAATTTATTTATCAGTATTGGCAATTTTATGTTTTTCTTCATTTAGGTATCATTAAAAAGGATTAAAAAATATCGTTGTGAATTTTTCATAGGCATCTGTAAATAGGGGGGGGGGGGGTGGTACGACAAAAAGTAAGTGTACCATTTCTTCAAGTTTGGCGTTATTTAATTTATTACAAGTTTAAATAGATAATAAATATACATATCTTTCTTAATATATTCTTCACCTTGTAAAGAATGAAAACAGAGGGGGGCGGAGGGTTAAGAGACAGAAGATAAGAAAGAAAACATCAAAAAACAAAATGTTAGAATTTGTCTTAGAAATGAACAAGAAACTAGGAAAAATAATAGAAGCGAATGCGATATTATGTAGTTTTGCTGAAACCTTGAGAAGCTGAAAACCTATCCGAATAAAATTCTTTATCTTGTAATTAATTATAATTTTGATGTAAAACAAATAAAGATTTTTTAAGAAATTAAACTATTTAGATTCAAGTACTGTTAACTGGTATGATGTGAAAGATATAACACCGAAGCCCACCCCTAGCTCCAGACAATCAACGGTTGGGGTGGGACAGAAAAGACCCGCCTACAATAGCCCATTTAACTACTGGAGTAACAACAACACAGTGCAGGTGCAGTTTGTTCAGTCTTCATGATAAATGGCTCCTCAGTAGATATGTGCTTGATTAAAAAAGTCTTAAATCTCTTTGAGTAAAGGAGAAAAATAGTGTTCAGAAAACCTTAAAATCTTATTATCGGCTTTATACATTTTGTAGGATAGCTCGGACACATCAATATTGTATATTACTACTACCTTTTGTAGGCAAAAGAAAATTATTTGATTTTGCATTATCTTGACCCGTTAGTGACGAGAAGGTCAATTTTCACCGGGTGAGTTTTTTTAAGTGCCTTTATTCTTAAACTAAATGTCGTCCTGTCTTTTCCTGCGCTTTCCTGAGGATTCCCTGTTTTCAAAACATATGTTATATTTGAAGTAACTTTAAAATTGGGGTATTTTTTTAATTTTCAATTTTAAAAAAACCCAAAAAACAAGATTTTAAATTCAGAATAAAACCAAAAGAACACCCTGTAATTTAGTTTGCAATATTCTAATATATTCTTTTTTAAATAGCTTTTTTGAGAAGCTCTCGGTTTTGAAGTTGTAAGCCAAAAATGACCTCCCAGTGAAAAAGGTTTTAAAACCAAAAAAACAGGGGAAGGGGGTTCTGGAACTTAGCTACCTGGCCGTGTATATTAGCCTTAGTGTACGATTAGGACAGTTTTTGATAAAGGATGTAAAGATAAAGAGATTCTGGCCAATTCATACAGTACAAACATCTAACATATTACGCTTTCGGAGTACAATGTATGGGGAAGTTTTGTATCTTGAAGTTTTCTCAGAACCTTTAATGAATGATGAAGTATTGCCAGATGTGACTTAAGGGGGACGCCAACCTCCTAGAAAATTTAGGAGACGTCCCCTTCCCTGGAAAACTGAAGGGATCGAGTCCTTCCTCCCCCCCCCCCCTTGAAAAATTAGGAGCGCAAGAAGAGAGAACAGGAAACTTTTAGCAATTTAATTTAGATTTTTAAGAATAGTATAGACTTAAAAAGAATTCAGTATTAAAAATCCAAGATTGAGTGGAATAACAAAGCATGGTTGCACACACACATATATTTATATTATAACAAATGAATAGTGTTGGACCAACTAAGGTTGATCTAAATACACACGACATTCGACAATGGCGAATTTATTTTACATTCGACTTTTCTCTTTTGATATTTTTTTCTATCAAATTTAGGAGTTTAAACCTCATTTAATCATTTTGTTATCTTTCATATTCATGCTTTCATACAGTGAGCACCAAATACAGTGGAAATCTACTCATCTTCTTTTTAATTATGAAATTTGAAACTGGAGTATTTATAATAATGCGTCCTGCACATTTTTAAAAATATTTAACATCAATTCCAAAAAATGCAAATTATAAAAACCAAAACAAATCAATTTATAAATATTGAATTTAAATACAGCAAAACCGACATTTATTCCACAGTTTCTGTTTCTCATTGAATAATTAAAATGATTATTAGAATGTGACACGAAGTGAATCAACTGCAACATCACCTACTCCTGCTGCAACTACACCAACAACTCTACCTAAAACCAACATCACACTTACAACAATCAAGAACTCAAATAGTTCAGGTTAAAACACTTTATCTTTATACAGGGTGTCCCAATAAACATGGGAGTTGAGTACCGATTTTGATATTGATATATGATATTATTAAATTTTTTTAACGTTTATTTTTAAATATTGGTTTTAACCAATCTTATTAAAAAATTGTAAAAATAATCATGTGATATAGCAGCTTCTGGTTTTTGATATCTCTTTTTTTCCTAAAATCTCCATTTATATTATTTTTGTTTTGAAACATTGACCAAATGTTGGCTGATTTAAAAAAACAAAACTATATTTTTTTGTGTGTTATCGCTGGTGAGGCCAAGATTTACAGGTTTTATAGCTACTCCTTGATGGCCTTGCTTTCTCATCTTCTCTGAGTCAGGAACTAAATTCAAACACATATTTCTGGTATTCTCTATTTAGGGTAAAGTGGAGGGGGGTGAGAACGTCTCCCAGCCCATATTTTTAATAAAAATCAATCTTGTTAAATCAAAACATCGTCTTGTTAAATAATTCTTTCTTTAAGTTATATAAACTGAGAAAGCTGTCGTCTGTAAGATTTTTTTGTGCTATGTTTACAATTTTTTTCAATGTTTTGACTGCATACGGTTGTACTTAGTAAAACAAGAAAATAAAATTACTGAATACAAACAGAGTAAGCTTGTCTGTCTTCCCTGAACATCTTGCGGATACATTATAGACACATCTTTACAGTCATTTACCGTTTTCATAAAGTAAACTATTGTTCTTCACTGAATTCCCATGTTTGTTAAAACACTCTGTAGGTTGAGAACCCAGCTTTGCCTGAAAACTGAACTTTCTTTATAAAAGTTTAAGATTCAATGCACAACCAGGGAGATCTAAAGTCAGAACTTTTTTGTTTTAAATCTCGGGATCAAACAATCTCCATCTTATACTCACGGATTAAACTAAATTCTACTCGATATCCTGTGTGCGTCATACCCTGCATGGATTAGTTTATAAAGTTGAAAATAAAGTACCCACTATGGATATCCTGTGTGCGCCATACCCTGCATGGATTAGTTTATAAAATTGAAAATAAAGTACCCACTATGGATATCCTGTGTGCGTCATACCCTGCATGGATTAGTTTATAAAGTTGAAAGTAAAATACCGACTATGGATATCCTGTGTGCGTCATACCCTGCATGGATTAGTTTATAAGGTTGAAAGTAAAGTACNCTCTTAACTAATTGCCCCCCAAATAAACCATTTATCTCATAGCTAAATGACATACTAACTTACTATTTGACATCCTAAATAAATGACCCCCTAATAAACTATTTGACGTCCTTACTAAATGACCATCTAATAAACGATTTGAAATCCTAGATAAAAAGCCTACTTAACTATTTGACATTCTAAATAAGACAAGCCTAACTAACGATTTGACATCCTACTGACCCTTAATTGGCTCCCTACTTCCTTAACTGGACGACAACATATGTAAATGACCCCTTAATAAACTATTTGACCCTCTGACTAAATAACCACTCAAATTTTCATCTACTTGACCACCTGTTAATTTAATCTTTTGATTTAGAATTTATTGTCTGTTTTTGATTTAGGATTGTCTGTTCTTTATTTAGGATCTATAATCTGTTCTTGATTTAGGATCTATAATCTGTTCTTGATTTAGGATCTATAATCTGTTCTTGATTTAGGATCTATAATCTGTTTTTGATTTAGGATCTATAATCTGTTCTTGATTTAGGATCTATAATCTGTTCTTGATTTAGGATCTATAATCTGTGGTCTAATCCTGGCACTGTTCCTTGTATTCTCAGTACTTACTCTCATTGTTGGAAGGTTGATGTTTTTTTAATATATTTAGAGATAATAAGGCAATAGAGAGGGGTTATTCGAAGGAGAATAGGGGGGGGAGGGGTTTGTTTACGTACGTCCCGGAAGATAATCATGATTTAAGCCAATGTTTGCAGACCGAAATTAAAACTAAGTGTTCAAATAAAATCTTGTTTTTATTTAAACAGATTTTAAAAGTAGCTAGTAATTGGTTTTCAAAGATTGATTCTAAACTAGATGTGTTTTACAAAATTTTAAAGGACCCTTTTAATTTCATAAAATCAAATTTTTTAATTTGTTTAGAATTAGAAAAAATGCTAAAAGGAGAGAGAATCATATCAGATGCCAACAAGCACTAAGGTATATCTGAAAATATTATTTTGATGAACACTATCGTAACGAAAGCTAAAATCTAGAAAAATCAAAACGTTGACTTCTCTACTCTATATATTAGTTTTTTTTTCTTTTTTATCTTTCTTTTTTTCTGGTTTCTTATTTTTTCTTTATTTAAGGTTGCATACTACGAAGAAGATGAAGCATATTTGGAATCTGGCCCTTTAACTGTAATCCTTCCTCCAGAATACCATCATTAATTCACATAGATATTACCCTTGCAAAATACATTAATTGAATCATAATCATATTTATTGATTTAATTGGTATTTTTATCATGGTCTCATTGTTATTCTTTCTATTGATTCATTGGTATTCTTTAACATTGATTCATTGGTATTCTTTATCATTGATTCGCTGGTATTTTTTATTACTGATTCTTGGCTATTTTTATCATGATTCATTGGTTTTCTTAACTCAGATCACAATAATTGTATCTTTAGTATTCTTGGTGCAGACTACAATCATTGATTCATTGGTATTCTTGATTCAAAATGTAACCAATATTTCGAGTATAGTATTCCTTCATCAGAATTAGTATTCTTTCATCATTGCATCATTGGTATACTTACTTCAGAATACAATTTTTTATTTATTGGTATTCTTATGTGAGAATACAGTCATTGGGTTTTTATATTCTTAATTCAAAATACAATTATTTATTGATTGGTATTCGTATGTCAGAATACAGTCATTGATATTCTTAATTCAAAATACAATTACTAATTCATTGGTATTCTTTCATCAAAGGGTTGGCATTTTTTAACGACCGAATATTCCTACACGATATAGATGAGATGACTTGTTATCCGTTCCACTGTTATCGTTGACTACACTTTATTTTCCAGTAAGCCTCTCTCCATGCTTACAGTATGATTAGAATACTTACTTCTAAATACAATTATTATTTCAATTGGTATTTTTTCATCAGAATGCAATCATTGATCCATTGGTATTCTTACGTACTTCATATGATCGAAGGTATTCTTACTAAAAAATAAATACTAAATGCTAAATAGGTGTCTGACAATACTGCTATTAAGTAAAGCTGAATATCTAAACTTATTCGTATTATCATCAATAATTTATCTTATCAACCGCCCAATAATTTATCTTATCAACCGCCGAATAATTTATCTTTTCAACCGCCCAATAATTTATCTTTTCAACCGCCCAATAATTTATCTTTTCCACCGCCCAATAAAAGTTATTAAACAAAATCATATTCTATGTTTACGGTAAATTGTATCTTATCTGACATAAGATTCCAAACTACTCATTATATTGAATTATAAAGTTCGTATTTAACTATCTTGCTCATAAACAGTATCCTCTTAACAATATTATCAGGATATTTATTATCTTGCCTTGTATAATGTATATTTATGCATACACAGTGCTAACCAGAAATAGTCGACATGATAATAATACTCAAGTGAATTTTATATTATAACAAAGCAAATTGTTTTACTAGACAATTATTAATTCGCTATTTTAGTGAAATGGGTCTGCTTATACACTGCACAATTGCTGTATCTCATTCTCATTGAACTTATGAAAGTTATAACTTGATTATAAAAGTCGTCTTCCTTTTCTGGTTATCACTGTACTATAAAGTTTTACAAGTCATACTTCGTTATTCAATGCACCATTAATCCAAATTTTCGGAATATAATTGTAATTTTAAAAATTTTGATTTAAAAGTTTTATAATTTTATAATTATGGCGACGTCATGCGAAAAGTAATATTTTCACCTTTGTGTTTTTATTCATAAAAAAAACAAAAATTGGGAAGAACCTCGATGCTTAAATTGGTGCTCATCTTCATTTTTGCTAAACTCGAAATTTTGTGGGGCATCATTTTTATTCTGTACAAGATTGCTCTTTAAACAAAATAAGGGAAACAGTTCTATCGATTGAACACTAAACGATTGGAGACTTTTAAAGTTCCATTTTTTAATCTGATATTTGAGCAAACATTCTAAAACATTAGAACATATTTCCTTCTGTTGTAAATATTTTCCAAGTTTAAAAAGGATTTTTATTAATAAATTCTTTTATCATTTCGGTGAATTTTCTATGGTGATGGAGGGTCGTCTTCGCTCTTTTACTATTGTAAATATATATCTATTATCTATATGTTCAGAACATATTTTTCAGTTGTCTTATGTAATTGATATAAAAATAAACGAAAATTAAGACAAAACAAAGTTTGTCCATCTTACATGTGAACTTTTTAAATTTTAAACACGTCATGAAGAAATTGAGTCTTATTGCCACAAACTATGATTTTCTCTTTCTTATATCTTTACAACCCATTGTCGTAGACCTTAAATATTTCAAACTATAAATTCTGTTAGATCAAATAATCTAAATTAGAAATATCGAAGGTTTTGCACAAATAGGTTGCAAAACTATTGGAATTAGAAAATGTGAGTTTGTGGCAAAAATTAATCATCATTTTTTGAACTTGTAGTCTACGGTTTGATTATGATTTATAGCATTATATACCAAAACAACTCAAATTAGAATATCTATATAATACTAATAATAATAAACAGTTGATAATAATATAAATTGCTTTTGTTGAAAAGTCATTTATCGAACTTGAATTTAAGATTTTTGGTTCTAATAATATTTATTTCTTCAATAAAACTTGTTAAGACTGCAGCAGTCGTAATTTCAAAAGAGTGGCATTACATTCACAATCGTCGTAAGCTAATAAAGAATATATTTATGATTATGTCAAGCATTCTATATATAAGTCGGACAAGCCACTTTTTACATGCAGCAATCATGTTCATATGTATCAAGCAATTATTTTTTATTGTGCAAGAAAAAAAAGGTTTCAGATAAAAACTGAAAAGTTGGTACGATCATATATCTTATGTTTATTTTCCTTTTACATATAAGATAGATATATAAGTGTAATAAAACATTGTTTTCTTGAGTATGTGTATTGTTCCTGAGTGTTTGCTATGAACAATATGAAAAATAAAAATTACAATTATTAGAGTAAAAATACGATGGAGGAGACACGGAAACATGTAATACAAAAAGTACATTATTTTAATATATCCACTGAAAGTCTGGAAAAATTATCACAATATTGTACATTCTCATCTGTAAAAAATGATAAAATGGAGAAAAAAATTCTTCAATTTTTTTTGCTTATCAATATTTTGAAAAGTTGTTACATCAATATTCCAGTTTTATCTGACATTTTAATCTATAGCTATCTGCATGTTTTTATTGAAAGAAATATTCAGATGAATTCAAAAGATCTTTATATTTTTCTCCAATAGAAATGGTTCACTTTTGGACAAAGCCACAATTGCAAATAATTGAAAATTATAGACATTGGTAATCTAATTCATACTTGATCAGACAAAGCTTTTAAGGGTTCCTTGAAATTACGCTTACAGTCCCTTTAAGAAGAATTCTCTGTAGCAAACAGTGAAAGTAAAGTTGATATAGAAAAGATTTGAATTGATAGATAGATAGGAAATGAAAGAGAGGGATACTGAATGGTTAAAACCCAAAAGTTTGGGCGAGGTCTCTTCAATACAAGAGATTGCAAGTTTAATAATCATTATTTGATAAAAATATAAATTTCAACAAACTCTCATCTGCATGTAAGCTAATCATTTTAATGTCTTAATGTTAAAGAAATAGTTAAAACTTCGGAACTGTGCAACATCCCTCAAAACTTTTGGGCTTTGTCAATTCATGATAGTTTGGAGATATTAGAATTGCAACCGTCCGCCATGCCTCCAGAGACCAGACTTCGGTTTCTGTAGTAGTCGGAGATATGGGATACATGATACAGAATACAGGGTAATAGGATACAGGATACATAATACAAGATAAAGAACACAAGATACGGGATTCAGATTACAGCATACAAGATACAGAACACAGAGTACAAGAAGCAGGATACATGGCTCAAGATACAGGATACAGAGCTTACTAGAAGGAATAGGTACAGGATACATTGCCATGATTAATAACGTTAAAATTGCACAAGTTCAAAGCCTTAAAAAAAACAGTGGGACTCATGAAACGGTGGAATAGTTGGACGACTATTAGACTCAAGTTATGATTATAAATAAACAGCGCACAGAGCATGAAAGACAGCAACTGTGCAGTAGTATACACATATGATCTCATTCATTCATATTTTTATTCAACTACAAAGCACGAGATAATACAAATAAAAAATCACAATTTACTATGTAGTTTGGACCCGCCTAACCAGAGTAGGTTGTTTTAATTGGTTGGCCCACTATAAACGAATGAGAATTGCAGATAAAAACAATGTACATTGTACATTTTAAACATAAGAATGATAGGTGAAGAAAACTGTGGATATGATGAATCTGGATCTGTTGATAAACTACCAAAATCTGTCAAGTATTTGTTTGAGTGCCCGGTTTGCCTGGATTTTGCCTGGCCACCGAGAAAAATATTCCAGGTAACAGCTTAGTTAACAGCTTTGTTCAGGTATTTGGAAATAGTAAATATGTACATATGCAGATCTTCAGGTATTTGAGTATAGTAAATTTGTACATTTACTATACCCAAATACCTAAATATGTGTAAATACATACATATTAGTGCACATTCAGCTTTCAGAGAAGCAACAACTAGGTCTTGATAAGCGCTTCTTGAAAAGACGACATCTAATGCTCTATCTCTATTGTTAATAAGCAATGGATTTTATTTTAGTGCCAGGAGGGGCATATAGTGTGTGAAGTGTGCTACAGTAACACTGATCTTCAGAACTGTCCAATCTGTAGAATCCCAATACGGGAGCAAGGACAAGTCTCGAGGAACAGGTTTGTGATGCTAGGGTCATCAGGGGGATCTAACCAGAAAAAACATGCTCCATATCAAGGTTATAATACAAGAAAAGTTAATTGCAGTTGCGTATACTCTGCGTACATATTGAAACCAGTTCTCTCCTGGCGGAATTTGTAAACAAGAATAGATGCATCTGTAACCGTTTAGTATCTGAGGAGGTTAAAAGCATTAAATTAAAATTTTTTTGATAATTCACATTATAGTTTCCTATGACCAGAATATTTCATTGATTTTTTATGTGAAAGATGAATCTCATGTCAGACTGTAACATCCGTCTTGTGTTTACATTATTGCCCAGAGACAGTACACTGCAGTACAAAAGATGTGTACACCTCTGAAATAACTTTCCTTGCATTATAACCTTGCTGCATATAGTTATGCAGTACAGAAAAGAGTATAAAATTTGTACTTCATATGTATTTATTTGTTGCTGCTGATAGTGATAACAATTTTTTTATAAATCAAAGCTTAAATAGAAAGGAGTAACAATAATAAACGGCTACCACTATATATTTGTTTTCATTAAAAACGTGCGAAAATTTCAGGAACACACAAATAATTCTTTTAAGAACCTTCAATTAAAAACTTGGAAATTTAAAGTAGCGTTTTACATCAGTCCTAAAAATTAATAAAATCCTTAATTTTAGACAACTTGAAGAACTGTCCTCGGCACTCTACGCTTTGGAACCGTCGTCTTCCACCTCCGGTCCCCCGCCTGTCTCAGGGAACGCTATACTGGCCGGACATCAGCTGACTGGAACTCAATTACGGTCCGGAACACCAATCCTGGATCCTAATGCCCCATCTGCTCCACCATACAGTTCCATCACGGTGACTTTCTTTACAATTCTATCTCGTTTTAAATGGATGGCTTACATAAAAATTTTCAATTTTTTTAAAAAGAAATTAAAATAAAACAAAACTGAATAATAGCCAACCACACATTTGAAATGCTGAAAACAAAACTTATTTCAAATATTACAAGACGCATTACAAAATGACATTTTTCAAAACGGCAATTTAAAAATGACAATATCTCAACGAAAAATTCCCCAAATTATAATTTCCCAAATCACATGTTCCTAATAGCAATCTGCAGCGCTCAGTCTCTTTCACTTGGGAAAAGTGCTTTAAAACTTTATTGTTGAGGTGGCTGGTGTTGAGAATTCAGAGGCTGCTGATCAGAGGTCAGAGGATTATATAGAGGAGGAGGGGGAGGATACAGATGAATCAGAGGAATCTGAGGAGGTATCTATCTATCTATCTATCTAAAAGTATCTATCTATTTATCTATCTATCTACAATGACAACAAGAAAACTATGGAACACCAAGACGAGATTTTAATAATACTTAAACGTACTTGATGTTAATACAAAGAAAATTGGCACTAATTAAATCGCTAATTTATTGAAAATAGTGAAAAAAGGTAAGCTCCGTTACGCTTTTGCATTTCCTGATTTAAAAAACTTTCCCAACGTTGCGTTAAAGCTTTAGTAATATAAATACAATTTTTTAACGTTCCACTTTCATGCAAGGTAAATGTTTTCAGAGACCTTACGTTACACTTTCACTTGGTTTGAAAAGTAAAAGGTGACAAACGCTTTGCTTTGCGTTAATAAAACGTCATTGGGGCATAGTTCTTCACGTTGCAATGAATTGCAGTGCAAAGAATATTTTTTGTTAACGTTACGTTTTATCTTTTCCAATATAAATCTTTTCTTCCGTTACTATTTATGGAAACCTTATTGTAAAAACTTTTTTGTTACACTATTTTACAACTGGCAATCAAAACTGTTTATTCGTTTCGTTTATAAGAAAAATATGAAAAAATGTTCTATTCGTTACGTTGTTTTAAAAAGTTCAGGCCTTAACGTTTTTACGTTACACATTTGTAAATAGTATTGTTTCTATAAAAACGTTACAAGATATTTTCCGCGATAATTGCATTCCTACTTTCGTATTTTCATCCTAAAACATGAACCATACAAAAAATTAGTGTCTTTAATACTTTTTTTACCCATTCTGTATGTTGGTATTGGATACCTTTTAAGATAATGTGTAGACTAATGCAGCAATATAAAGATGTTATAGTATTATCATTGAAACGGTTTTTAAAATTTGTGAAAGAAAGTTTTTAGCATTAGACTTTTAACTCAAAGGTGTGTTTTAAAGGGAATAGAGACGTAATTTCAAGTGACCTTCCATTTTTGGTGTGGCATGTCCGGCTTACATTTGGAAGATAGGAAAAACGCTGGTATTTTCAAAACATTAATCAGATAAAGGTATACAAGGTACCATTGGAAATCGAACATGGCCCTCTCTAAATGGAAGATCACTTGTAATTATCATCGTGTATTTGATATAAATGTTTTGGGACATTTCATAAAATGAGTTAAAATTCGGCAAGGAGTGGAACAGTAGTTTTAAATTATTTTACGTAAATTTAGGGTTAATTTTTTTATTTTTACTCAATGCAATCCAACCCTCAGAATTCATAGTTTGAAATATCTAAGGTCTACAACATTGCACACTCCTCTGGCGCTTTAGTTATTGTAAATTGGCGGTACAGTCAAAAGTAGGACTGCAAAGGTTGGCCCAGCTCGGATATTCAAATGTACACCGGTGGGGCGTGATTGGGTTGCAAATATATAGGGATTATAAATATAAGTTTGTGACAACAACTCAGTTACTTTAGACTTTCTTATCTAGACTTTCTTATCTGACAGAAGTCATAGTTTGAAATATAAAAAGTCTACAACACCAGCTTGCAAAAATATAGAGATTAGAAAATTTAATTTGTGGCTGATGTTTAGTTCTTTTTGTGCTTTTTTTTATGTTTCTTAAAAAGTGAGTAAAAAAGCAGCATTAGCTTTAGTTTACAAACCACAATGAAAAGTGTTCAGGGTTGAAAAATATCAAAAAAAAGTAAGAAAAACACGAACAACGGAATAAAATTTTGTACAATTTTTTACTTTTTTTAACAAATCGATTAAAAAATCAGTTTTCTGTTCAATATTAAAGTTTCATAAAAGTTTATTGATGAACAAAATATAACACGCATTTTCCAATTGATAAAATATTTTTGCATTTTAGTAAGTATCTACATTTCTAAATTTTTCAACCTAAAACATGAACCATGCCAACTGAAGTTATGATTTCGAATAGTCAAATTAACATTAAACACAGCAAATGTGTTGTGTACACTGACCCGTTCCACTTAATAAGTTTTTTTTTGCTATTAAAATTCATTTGCTTTAAACCAGAAAATGCATTTGTAAAATGTCCAGAGTTTTAGTGGGTTTTTATTAAACACTGGCAAATCAAAAACCTTTGATGTCCAAGACACATTTATAAGATTTCAATTTTCACTAATAGCCTGTTACAAAAAACTCGTTTACACTTTAGACTAAGTTTTTGTCAAATATACTAATCCCTATATCTTTCCAACCTGATGGTTTAAGCCTGTGATATTTTAATATTACAGGTCTACGACATCGGATTGCAAAGATATAGTAAATGAAAATTAGAGTCTGTGGCAAAAACTCTTTTCCTTTAAATTTGAAATGAAAAACATTATTATTCGCATATTCATATTCATTAGACATCTCTTGCATTGATAGATTAGAGATGTTTTGAAATGTTTTGATTGGCAGAATTGTTGTTACACTTTTGAAATTAAAAGTCAGCCCTCATAACCCTACTTTTTATGAACAATATTTTCATCAGACATATATTTAACGTTAGACTAATAAATTTATTGTTCAGAGAAAAGTTATGAAACGTTTTGATTTATAGAATTAAATTTTTTTTAATATTATACGTTACATTATTGAAATTTATTTTATGAATAAAAAATAATTCGTTTCCTGATTGTTAAATTAATAATCCATTTCTAAAACGCTGAGCTTTTCATTATACTATTAGGGAAAAGTTACAAAATTTTTCATTAACAGAATTGGATTTTTCAGTTTTACAATGGTACACTTTTTTTTAAGATGAACTTTGAAATAGAAATCATTTCGATGCGATATGCAATCAAATCAACCCCTATGGAAACAAATCGTTTCTTCACATTATGGTCAACGTGTTGTAGATATTAGAAAAATAACGTTACGTTACCACACACCGCTAACATTGGGGATATGTTCCTCTAACATAAAATTTTAACGTTGACGTTAGGTATAAGCTTTTATATAAGCTTTTATATAAGCTTATATAGAATTTATCCAAACGTTTCATATTATTTTAACATAACGTACAAAAACGTTTATTTTACATTTTACTCTCGTTGACACTATCTATATATCTATCTCTATATTAGAGATGTCAACGATAGTGTAACGTAACGTAAAAACCTTGGAGTTAGTAGCCCTTGGAGGTTTTTCATGGTTTGCATTTTTCCTACCAGCCATTTTATACACCCTGTATAACTTGTTGACTGAACTATCTATACATGAACTTATAGATAATTAGTGCCAGATGACCGAGCGCACACACACACACTCACGTCTTGTCACGGTGAAGGGTAAGAACTAACTTAATAAGTAGATTTTCTTGAAGTGACAACTAAAAGAGAAAGGGGGAAGTATTATTTTTTTCTCCACAGAAAATTCGAAAAAGGGGCAGCACCCCGCACCCCTGCACAGGTAGTGAAAGGGTCTGACATAAAAACTATTCAGATTCCTTTATGAAATTCCAGGGGGGGGTTTGTTAGGAGACATCCACTGTCAACACATTCCATTTTATTTATCGCCCCCTCCCCATGAAAAATAGTGTAAGCTTCTCTAGTTATCTGGCTACTGGTAAAAGTATAATCTTTTTAACATCAAATACACAAAATATTACTTAAATATTTTCCTTTTTTACAGTTTGTAACGTTTATAAAGGATACAGGATACAGCAGACAGTGAATACGGGATACATCAAAAACTTGATACTCAACAATTTTCATAAGATAACAAATTATTTTGAAAAAAAAACGACATTAATTTGAAGATTACTTTGAGACTCAAGTTCTCCCATTAGATTATATATTCTGTAATGGCTCTCCTGGGATTACCCAGGGATCTACAAGAATATGTTTCAAGTTTCAAACTTCTCTTCAATATACTTAATTATCCATCCTTCTTATAGAAAGGCCATGTTCTCCCTATTCTACCTTTTATATTGCAAGTCATATACAGGGTAACTTAATAAATATGAGTTCTTAAAAGCACTGTAGGCTAATTTAAAAAAACCATCCATGCAAGGATTGCAATGTCTCATTCACAACGGTACCCATAAAAACAAGTATGAATTATATATCTATGTTTCTGATTTCTACTGCATATAGTGTTTAATAAATACCAAGATGAAATTGCACACGTAGGTTACAAGATAAAGATTGTACCCCACAGGATCCTTAAGATGAAGATTGCACCCTGCAGGATCCAAGATAAAGATTGCACCCTGCAGGATCCAAGATAAAGATTGCACCCCGCAGGATCCTTAAGATAAAGATTGCACCCTGCAGGATCCAAGATAAAGATTGTACCCGCAGGATCCTTAAGATAAAGATTGCACCCTGCAGGATCCTTAAGATAAAGATTGTACCCGCAGGATCCAAGAAAAAGATTGCACCCGCAGGATCCAAGAAAAAGATTGCACACCAAAGGATCCAAGATAAGATTGCACCCTGCAGGATCCAAGATAAAGATCGCACCCTGCAGGATCCAAGATGAAGATTGCACCCCACAGGATCCAAGGTAAAAATTGCACCCCACAGGATCCAAGATAAAGATTTCACCCTGCAGGATCCAAGATAAAGATTGCACCCCGCAGGATCCAAGAAAATGATTGCACCCCAAAGGATCTAAGATAAAGATTGCACCCCGCAAGATCCAAGATAAAGATTGCACCCCAAAGTATCCAAGATATATTATATTGCACCCCAAAAAGGATCCCTTGAATCATTAAAGGGACAGACCGGCTGTGTAAGATAGTTAAACTGAGTATGCAGTGTTGTGGACAAATTCTTTAGGATTCATTTGAGAAATATAAAACTTTTCCACGATGTATGATTAATGAGTTTGATTGCACAGTCGACGTTCAAAATCATGAATTTGGGTGGGTATGTTTTCAGAATCGTTTTTTTTTAATTATTAAATAACGACGACGAAAAATAAAGAAAAAATTAAACAGTAAACTAATTAGATGGTGAGAAACATATTTCTCTAAAGAAATTTGTCAATAAATCAATGCTAGAATCATTTTCTATGAATTTATTCGCAGATTTCTACAAATTCCTCAAATGTCGTCTTTTCAATAAAAATTCCAGAAAATCCGCCGAAAATCTTCGTGAATCATCAGAGATTTATAGAAACTAATAATTGAATAAGACTAATTATTTTCGATGATAAGTTTAATTTTTATTTTCTCACCCTGTTCCTAAACAACTATTTAGTTTACTGTAGAATTCTGTTTATTTTTTTTTGTCGTCGCCATTTAATTGTTTTAAAAAAAGGAATTCTGAAATCGTATTCACCCAAAAGTACAATTTTCAACGACAAATTTGCGCATAAACTCAGGATTTACAGATCTTCATAAAGTTTTATAAGTCTCAAATGAATCCTAAAGAAGTGGTCCACAACACTGCATACTCAGTTTAGCTACCTTATATAGCCGGTCTATCTCTTTAAGGATTTAAGTGTACCGCTGTAAATCGGACATTATACTTTTTTTTAAAATGAATGGTCCCTTAAAACTCCGCCTTTATTAAATAAAAGGGCTCAAAAGTACAGTTTTGAATCGAACACGCTCCTTTTTTCAAATCACTTCCCTACGCCGTCATTCTTTGTAAGTTTTCAAGGGTACCGTTGTGAATCCAACATGTCCCTTTTTCTAATGAAAGATGGTTTGAAATCATGCTTACATTCCCTTTAATAATGATCAGAATGTCAGATGCATAAAAAAATACATGATACAGAAATCTTTAGATGCGGGATAAAAAATTTACAGAAATCAGATTATTTTTTTTATAACTTTGATAAAATTTTTTTTTTTTAAAGTATTTGTTAATCCCTGAATCAGTTGTTGATGGTCTGTATAGTTGCAAACCACCGTTTCCCGCATTATTTCATGATTCAGGCATGTTCAGATATGAAATATTCAAATGCATGATACAGACATGTTCAGATGCATGATGCAGACATGTTCAGATGCATGATCCAGAAATGTTCGGATACTTAATGCAGACATGTTCAGATACATGATGCAGACATGTTCAGTTACATGATGCAGACATGTTCAGATACATGATGCAGACATGTTCAGATGCATGATGCAGTAAAATAAATCTAAATTATGATGATACAAAATCTACAGAATGCATGACAAAAAATGTTCAGTTGCATGATGCAGACAATTATACAGAAAGTATATCTAAGGATATCAATCAGAGAGATGACGCAGGCCTCATGCTGTAAAATGAGTGCAAATTGTTCAGTACTATGTAAATATATATTTATTTCAGGTAAAATGCACGAACACATGCTAATGTTCTCATTGATGGGAGGAGCCGGAGTTATGGCTGCAATACTAGAGTTTGCTAGGTACAGGGTGTCCCAAACACAAGCAATACTAGAGTTTGTTAGGTACAGGGTGTCCCAAACACAAAAATACTAGAGTTTGCTAGGTACAGGGTGTCTTAAACACAAATAATACTAGAGTTTGCTAGGTACAGGGTGTCCCAAACACAAATAATAGAGTTTGCTAGGTACAGGGTGTCCCAAACACAAATACTAGAGCTTGTTAGGTACAGGGTGTCCAAAAAACAAATACTAATAGAGTTTGCTAGGTACAGGGTGTCCCAAAAACAAACAATACTAGAGTTTGCTAGGTACAGGGTGTCCCAAACACAAATACTACTAGAGTTTGCTAGGTACAGGATGTTCCAAACACAAATACTAGAGTTTGCTTGGTACAGAGAGTCCCAAACACAAATACTAGAGTTTGCTAGGTACAGGGTGTCCGAAACACAAATACTACTAGAGTTTGCTAGGTACAGGGTGTCCAAAACACAAATACTACTAGAGTTTGCTAGGTACAGGGTGTCCCAAACACAAATACTAAAGTTTACTAGATACAGGGTGTCACAAACACAAATACTAGAGTTTTTATAGGTACAGTGTGTCCCAAACACAAATAGAGTTTTCTAGGTAAAGGGTGTCCCAAACACAAAGACTAGAGGTAGCTAGGTACAGGGTGTCCTAAACACAAATACTAGAGTTTGCTAGGTACAGAGTGTCCCAAACACAAATACTTGAGTTTGCTCAATACAGGGTGTCCTAAACACAAATACTAGAGTTTGCTAGGTACAGGGTGTCCCAAACACAAATACTAGAGTTTGCTAGGTACAGAGTGTCCCAAACACAAATACTAGAGTTTGCTAAATACAGGGTGTCCTAAACACAAATTCTAGAGTTTTCTAGGTACAGGGTGTCCCAAACATAAAAAGGATTCAAGAGAAGACTTTGATTTACGCAGGATTTTTTCCTGAACACAATGTATAATTTCCCTAAAACAAATTCCATCTTTAACCTGAACAATATTCATCCTTCACCTAGCCTAACTCATTCCTATAACCTTATGTATACTCATTCCTAATCTAAACCTTTCTCATTTCTAACCTAAACCTTTCTCATTCTTAACAGCTGAACCCTACTCATTCTTAACAGCTGAACCCCCCTCATCTCTTCCCTGACCCATACTCGATCACCCTTAAGCTGAATTTCCACGTTTTTTTAGATTGGATTCACATCAGATCAGTGGATTTATAAACCCCTAGGAAGGATATCTGAATCCCTCCAGTGGAATTATAAACCCCCTAGGAAGGATATCTGAATCCCTCCAATGGAGGATATCTGAATCCCTCCAATGGATTTATAAACTCCCTGGAAAGATATCTTAATCCCTCCAGTGGAATGTAAATCACCCTGCTTAAAATTTTGAATTCTAAAAAGCATTTTTTCAAACCTCTCCAGTGAAAATCCCTCCGGTGGTCTTTAGTAGAATCGAAATCTTACTACGAACTTCTTTTAGTCAAAAATTTACGATATTTTCTAAGTGTTGCTCAAAGAAAGATTAAAGGGGTAGCGTTGTGAATCATCTTTGCAACTCTGTTGATGACAGGCAACTTAAAATTAAGTGTACAGTCCCTTTAAAGTCTCATACTCTAGTCTTTACAATTATCGTATTTACAGATATGCGAAGCACATTGAAGAGATAAATTATTGATTTAAACATGAATCACAAATTAATTAGATTAGTTTTTTCAGGGTATCTTTTATCAATTATCCCCCTCCCCCTTCCTTAACCGTGTCTTTGGTCTTTCCCCGAAATGAAGAGATGTTCTATTTTAGAGTTTGCTACGTTACCTACAAAGAAGGGAAGAAAAAAGACGAAAAAGAAGACGACGTTTACGCAATGTGAAAACGACATAAATTAAACTAAACTAATTCAAGATTTCAGGCCGATATAATCAGTTCTTGTTTTTATTAATTCAAAATTAAAAGTTTTGATTCAAGAATTCGGAGAACACAAAATGTATTAAATAAACCTTCAGGAAAATCATTCTTTTTGTTTGAATATTTATATTCTTTTCTTCTCTCATAATGTTTAAAAACGACGTAATGCATTAAGCTTTCAACTCTCTTGGTTAACACCTCCTCTGGTTAAAATGTATAATACATACAATGGTTGGCGTTATATCAATACAATTAACACGACTTTTATCTTGAATTTTTAAATTCTACAAGGACAAGTAACTAAAATATGAACTGTTCCAATTTCATAATTGAATTCTAAACATTTTCATAAAATTGTTCAAATGTTTTGGGGAATTGTTTTTATTTATGATCGAATTGTTCACCAGTTTATTTCATATTTTCTGGGACTTACTTGCATTTGTATTATTGAACAAATCTCTTCCAAAAATTATCAAATATTTAATATCAAACGAATTATTAATTTTAACATTTTTTTACCCTTATGATCTATTATTGCTCAATCTTGTTAATTTTGTTCTTGAAATAAACATTACTTAATTTTTATCTTAATATATATTTGGTCGAGCCTGTTTATCTGTCTATTTGATATCATTAAATTATACAGGGTGTCCCAAGAAAAATGACAGTGGTAAGTCGTCTTTGAATTTATTTTTGACATTTAGTCGTCAACCTTCTTTAAATGTTTGTTTCTTTAAACCAAAAATAACTACAAAATTCTCCTAGTCCAAGCATTTGCAAAATGTGGCTTGCCTTTTTATTACAACATTACCTGAGATAATAATAACTTCAGATTTATATTTAATTACATGAAATCAAAACTGTCGAAATTTTAGTTTTTTATTAGTTCTTTAGTTTTCAACTGAACAGCATACATTTAAAAGTTAAGTATATACTAAGAAAAAGGAAACTAGAGAATTTAGTAACTTTTCCTTAAAAATAAGACCAGAACTGAAAATTGCGAATTTTCTTTTTATAATTTTGCGAATTTTTGCGGATTTTTTTGAGCCATTGGAATACCAAAAAAAAAATATTGAAAAAACACCACAATGGAGAGTTGGTACTCCAATCACCCAAAAAAATCCGCGAACCTTTTTTTTTCTTTCAAAATCAAAAGTTGCAAAAATGTGTTTATAAATCATTTCTTTCGAATTCTAAAATTTTAATAGGATTGAATCACAGAATCACAGAAAATTCGCAATATTGTAATAAGAAAGTTCGCAATTTTTAGTTCTGTTCTAAATTTTAAGAAAAAATTATTTAAATTCTCTAGTTCCTTTCTTCTTAGTATATTCTAAAGTATTAAATATACTCTGTTCAGTTGAAACGTTAAGAACCATTAAAAAAACAAATTTTCCGTAAAAATTTGACCAAAACTGAAAATTACGAATTTACATATTACAATTTTGCAAATTTTCTGCGATTCTGTGATTCAATCTTTTTAAAATTTTAGGTTTCAATAGAAATAATTTATTTACACATTTTTGTTTTACTGAACTTTTGATTTTGAGAGAAAAAAAGGTTCGCGGATATTTTATGGGCCATTGGAATAACAAAAAAAAATACAAATCTTCAAAAAATATTATAAACCCCAATTCAGGACAGTTGCACAAAAGAGGTACAATTTTGCACCAGGCGCCTCAAGACTCACCCTGTATATTTCAATACAGTTGATCAAACATATATATTTTCATTACAGTTGATCAAATATAATATACCAGTCTCACTCCCATCTTCTAGTTCAATTGTGAACAATTTCTCGCAATTTTATAAAAAAAACTTGCAAACATCGAATTCTGTTGAAGGTAAATTTTAAACATTCGATCATCCTTAAACCTTCCCTGGGATCATGTGAGGTCACACAAATAATTTGTGCCAGATTGGTTCAGCCATTTTGACGTTTATTGGATACAAACAAAAAAAACAGACAGACACCCACCCAGACAAGCAAAGTATATATAATGGTTCATACTAGCTAAAGGGCCCGGCGTTGCCCGTGGGACAAAAACTTTAAGAAAAAAAGAAAAAAATTTTAAATTTGGCCGGTCAGAGGGAACACATTTACGAATGTCTTGTTTTATTTTATGTATATTATATATTTATATAATATATGCATTCCTTATTTATGAAAAATTATGAATTATGTTGTCTCTGTAACATCTGCGGTTCTTTTCCCTCGTAAATTAATTTTTTTCGGTCTTTGAACTCTTTCAAGGTTTCAGATTTATCGGATTAACCACCGTAGTCCCTACCCCCTGACCCCTCCCCTTTCTCCGTCCACTATCCCTCTACCCCTCTAGAGAACCTAGAGAATCTAAGGAATCCAGAGAATCTGGAGAATCTAGAGAATCTAGTCAAGAGAGTCTACATAGAGAATCTAGAGAATTTAGAGAATTTAGAGAATTCAGAGAATTCAGAGATTCTAGAGAATCTAGATAATCAAGAGAATCTAAAGAATCCAGATAATTTAGAGAACCTAGAGAACCTAGAGAACCTTTAGAATCTAGAGAACCTAGAGAATCTAGAGAACCTAGAGAATCTAGAGAACTTAGAGAATCTAGAGAACCTAGAGAATCTAGAGAACCTAGATAATTTAGAGAACCTAGAGAACCTAGAGAACCTTTAGAATCTATCTAGAGAACCTAGAGAATCTAGAGAACCTAGAAAATCTAGAGAACCTAGAAAAATCTAGAGAACCTAGAGAATCTAGAGAACCTAGAGAATCTAGAGAACCAAGAGAATTTAGATAATCTAGAGAACCTAGAGAATCTAGAGAATCTTGAGAATCTAGAGAACCTAGAGAATCTAGAGAACCTAGAGAATCTAGAGAACCTAGAGAATCTAGAGAACCAAGTGAATCTAGAGAACCTAGAGAATCTAGAGAATCTAGAGAACCTAGAGAAACTAGAGATCTTTTTCCCTCTTTTATAAATTCAAAATTCTCCCTTTAAACCTATTCGGGAATTTAATGAGCAGAGTTAAAAATATTTTAGAAATATCATTTATTTATTATATAATTACATGTTAAAGATATTGTTTCAAATTTTAAAAATAGTAGTAATGCATTTTTAGAAAACGTTTAAAGTTTCTCTAAATTTAATCATAATCTTATTAAAAAATCTTATAATAGAAAAAAGAAAATAAACGTTTTTTTCCAAATTTGGTTTCTTCGTGAACTGATAGAATTATACGATAATATTACACACAGGATTATCATGATTTTAAGCTTATTATATTATTGTATTACCAGTTTAAAACCAGCTATTATATTATAATTCCTAGAACCCTAATTATCTTATCATTATTTTCTAAAATTTATTCTTAAACATTATACTTCAGTTGAAGAGAAATTAAACTAATTTTTTTAGATCGGGGGGTCAGAGGATTTTAAAAGTATGAATTAGAGAATAACTAAGATCAATAATTTTTGGTTGAATTCTGACCTGCTAATAAAAAAACTTCAATCCTTTCTCGTCAAAGAACTGTATTCAGATAGCAAAGGAAGGATATGAATATGTATTGTGTAAATTCACCCTTCAAATGGAGGATCTCTTGAAATTAAGCTGACAATTACTTTGAAAATACGTCGTTAACTACTTGAAGGTTTAAGAATTATAAGATCTAAAAGCTATTTGGATAATTAAAGTTGAGAGCAGAGCTTATCTATTAACACTCAACTGTAAAGTATTTTTATTGAAGCAAAACAGAAGAAACTAGCATTAAAGTACCCCTTTCTTTTTTGTCAATTTTTTTTCAGTTCCCTTTTTTCAAAATGATGTTAAATAATAGTTTCACTTTGCATGTGGTGATATTATTATTTAAGTAAAAAACATGTAAAAAATCTGGAATTATCATGTTTAAGTAAAAATCTGAAAATCAGAAATAATGTTTGAAAGAAATGTGATGATTTATGTTTAAATTCGAATAAATATTGTCTGTGTGTATTTCTTTATGTAGTTTTACTGCAGTCTTACTATAGTTTTACTGTAGTCTTACTGTAGCCTTAGGGGGGGTTAGTTTTTCCCTTACATGTCTGTAGTGATATGCCTTCAGGGGTTCGTTTTTGTTTATATTTTCTTTCAAGGTCAATATTTAGTGTTAAACGCAAATGTATTTTAAATTGTTCATTCATAATGTTTACTTTTCTTATACTATAACAGATTTTGACATTAATAGAAGTTAAATATGCGTAAACAATGCAAAAACGATCCCAAAACGATGCAAAAACGATCCCAAAACGATGCAAAAACGATCCCAAAACGACGCAAAAACTATCCCAAAACGATGCAAAAACGATCCCAAAACTATATGCATGCTTAGGGTTTCTTTTTTCTGAATTATACTTTTGTGAAGGCAAGAGACAAGACACTAAACTAAAATAAACTTAAACATAAAATAAGAATGTTCATATTCATAATAACTTCAAAACTGTACACTGCAGAATATTCACAGATATATACATTAATGTAGCAGACAATTTCTATAGATATAACATAGATTAATAAATAAACAGATATATACATTAATGTAGCAGACAATTTCTATAGATATAACATAGATTAATAAATTAACAAATATATACATTAATGTAGCAGACAATTTCTATAGATATAACATAGATTAATAAATAAACAGATATATACATTAATGTAGCAGACAATTTCTATAGATATAACATAGATTAATAAATTAACAGATATATACATTAATGTAGCAGACAATTTCTATAGATATAACATAGATTAATAAATAAACAGATACAGTTGAACAGTTCTAGAGAAAACATAAATCGATAAATGAAAAAAAAATAGATTAACAAATAAACAGAGGCAACAGAGTAATTCTGTTGATAACATATGCTCAATAAATAAACAGATATAGTGGAATATGACGACGACAAGTTATGATTTTAAATAAACCAGAAAACATGAAACACTGTAATTGTGAAATTTACATTTTACTGAATAATTTTCAACCCACTGGTAAAACTATTGGTTTTAAAGCAACATCAAATGTGCACAAGAAATGTTCACAAGATCGCATTAACATCGTCTTCTTATTTCACAGTTTTATAGGCCTCACTGTATCAGAACTGAACATGGATAAATTAAGTAGAACATATAAACTTATATTTAAGTTAAATGAACACCAAGAAAACCTTAGAGGTTTCGGTAACCACATGTTAATTCGTGACTTAAAATTTCTAGTATAGGCTGGGGGGGGGTGTTGCCCACCCCTGGGGGAGGGGGTGTTGCCCACCCCTGGGTGAGGGGGTGTTGCCCACCCCCTTATGATTATGAGTTGAGTTAAGATGGGCCTGATGCTCATTAAACAAAAATTAGACCTAGCTCTAACTCTAATGGTTAAGGTGCAAGGGTGGATTTAAAAAATTTCAAAAAGTTTGTCGGAAAAAAGCTCAAAAATAATTTTTAAAAATTTTGACAGATATTAACATGTGACCCATGTAGTTACATCCATTAGTTATTAAGCCTTTCCGTTTTTCTTTACTGTTATCCGCCTTACCCTTTGAATAAAAAAATTGTT